GTTTATCTGGTCCAATTGTATGTCCTTAAACACCCAAAAGGGAAAGTATAACCAAAGATTAAAGTCATCAATATATTTCTTTAAGAATTCAAGGGATTACACATCCCAGACATTAGACTTAAGTTCTTATGTTATTTAGACAATTATTATTCATCGGTGATTTTGTTCCTAATAGGACAGTGCTACTCAGGTGTAGGCCTTTAAATCTTGGTCTACAATACTGTAGTGCCCACCTGCAGCTGAGGGAAACTAGAAAAATGAGAAAAAAACCTGTTAGATGGATACTTTTGGGGGCCCTCATCAAGAAATTCCAATGAACTTTAATTTGGACATTTTCTGGTTCCCTGCCTAAAAATTGTAATACTAGCTACTCTTGCCCTCACTCTTACCTCTACTTTTCCTTCACATCTTCCAAGCACCAGTCAAACACATTTCTTTTCTCCCTATAGTTAAGAGATATGTAATTTGGGAGTCTTTTAGATAGACCCACTGAAGGGGGTACCCCAATTGCCTCACCCTGCATCCCTGTTCAGCATGGAAGAAGCCAGAGTGGTCTGCATCCCAATTCCCTATTGGCAATTTGGGTAAGCCTCTTCAGAGGGTGGTATGATAAGAACAGGAGATAGAAATTGGCTAGGCAGCTAGGGTAAAAAGACCCCAAAGAAAAATAGCCAGTTTCTTTCTTGGCTGAAAGTCAAAATGTCCTTGGGCCTTTTAGCAAACTACTCTGTCCCAAAGACAAAAACATTAAAAGTATTTGTGAGCTCTTATCACAAAAAGATTTTGGGGTTACCTCTTCAGAGGGGGAATGTTACACTATCACTAGCCCCCTGATTATGTTATTTTGATGCTTGCTCCCTGTTTCATACAATTTCTTACAAATTACTGCCATTTCTAAAATTACTACCAGTCAGGTCATGGTCAGTTATCAAACTTTGGATTCTCCTGAGATAGATGAGTTGGCTCTTAAAGGTTGTGATGACACTTCCCCATTTATAAAACAAAACAGGGGGAGATGTTGGGGAACCCTGCTGTTAAGGTCAGCTCCTTTCTCAGCAGGGGCTTCCTGCCTGACTTACCTGGAAAGTGCCTCCAAGCACGGATGCCTGATCTTATTAAGAACATGACCTTTGGCATAGTTACCTGCAATAAAACTACCCCCATTTTTTTTCTATATGATAATTAGGCATTGCCCCATAGTCAGATGATGGGATCCCCCTGCCACATGTAAATAAAGCATACTCTGAGCACCTATCAGCTGAGGCTTTGGCTGCTGCCTCCACACTATATTTTCCCTACCCCCCACTGAATAAATGGAGCTGTATCACTGAACCTGCCTTCCGGGAAGGGCTTTCTTCCATCGTGTTCACTGGCCGTCCTGACCCTGTTCATTGTTTCTGCTCCCTTTGTCTTCATGGACCGGTGGCCAATGACCCATGAGGGCAGGGAGAGACCCCACAGGAAGCAGAGGCTATCAGGGCTGTTTGTGTGAGATTTCGAATTGAGAATCTGTGGGTTCTGGTCGGCTGGGACTGAAGAATCAGCTGTGATTAAGAGACCGGAACCTGAAGTAAAGCCTTTGCTTTACTGGGACAATTGATGCTGGTTAGCTGGGGCTGAAAAATCAGCTGTAAGAAACAAGATACTAGCATTACTGTGGAAAATATTCTAAGAGGTATTTCCTCAGGGTCAGCACACAGAGGGGACCGGCACCTCTATCTCAAGCTGGAAATAGGACTTGTTAATGTGTAAGAGTCTCCTGCATGGTTCTGGTGTTGAAAGCGTGAAGGGGTCACAGAGAGCAGCTGAGGCTTGGCACTCTGAGAGGCCAGGAAAGGCCATAGGTGAAAGTGCAGCTTCAGTTACAGCAAAGGCCCCAGGATTGAAGGGGTCATGGAAAGAATCTGAGACTTTGTACCCCAAGAGGCAAGAAGAGGCCATTGGTGAAGGTGTAGCCTCAGTTTCACTGGAGACCCCAGCTTTTTGGAAATGCCAGGGCTGTGGGACGACCACCAAGTACTGCAGTATGTGTGGAATGGGGCTTGTTGGGGAACCCTGCTGTTAAGGTTGGTTCCTTTCTCAGCAGGATCTTCCTGCCAAGCAGGGATGCTTGGCCTCATTTAAAACATGACCTTTGGCATAGTTACCTGTAGTAAAAACTACCCCCAGGTTTTTTTCTATATGATAATTAGGCATTGCCCGATATTCGGATGATAGGAGCCTACTGCCACGTGTAAATAAAGCATACTATGAGCACCTATCAGCTGAAGCATTGGATACTGCCTCCACACTATATTTTCCCTAACTCCCACTGAATAAACAGAGCTGTTTCACTGAGTCTGGAGCTGTTTGTATCACTGAACCTGCCTCCCCGGAAGGGCTTTCTTCTGTCAGTACTCACTGGCCGTCCTGACCCCATTCATTGCTTCTGCTCCTTTTGTCCTCATGGACTGGTGGCCAACGACCCACGAGGGGAAGGAGAGACCCCACAGGAGCTGACCTGGGTCTGAGAGATGAGCTGAGTGTGCTGTGGATGGCAGTCAGAAGTGGAGCATCCAGAAACCTTTGGAGTCCAGAAGATCATGAGTGAATCGCAAATGTCCAGCCTTGAGCTACTTTGCTGGACTTTGGTTTTGCTTAGGTGTGCCCGATTCTTCCCTTTGAAATAAGATAGTACTTGTTTTGGATTTTACAGAAGCCCACCCACAGTTAAGAGACTTTTAAAAGAGACTATGGACTTTTAAGTGTTTGAATTTTTTAATATTTTATTTATTTTTATTTTGTGTATGAGCATATTGCCTGCATGTATGTGAGTGCACCCGTGTTGAAATTGGAAAGCTTATGGTTTAATAGTGATGTGTTTGTGTGTCAAGTTGACAAGGGGTCAACTGTGCTGGATAGCTTTAGTGTCAACTTGACGCACCTGGGTTGAGGGAGCCTCAATTAGGGAATTGCTGCCATTGGACTGGCCTGTGGCCATGTCCATGGGGAACCTTCTTGATTGCTGAGTGATGTGGGAGGGTCCAGCCCACTGTGGGTGGTGCCACCCCTGGGCAGGTAGGCCTGTGTTGCATAAGAAAGCAGGCTGAACAGGGGCCAGAGGAGCAAGCCAGTAAGCAGTGTTCCTCCATGGCCTGTGCTCCAGCTCTTGCCTCCAGGTTCCTGCCCTGAGTTCCTACCTTGGGCTCCCAAATGAACTGTGACCTGGGATATGTAAGCTAAATAAACCCTGTCCTCCCCAAGTTGGTAGTGGTCAAAGTGTTTTGTCACAGCAATGGAGAAACAAACTAGGACAGAAGTTCCTCTTCTGTGGTCACTCAGCTCTCTGGCCTCATTCCTGGCTTCCACTGGGGTGGCTTCTCAGTCCTGTGACACCAAAGCTAGGAATACTCATGCTCAATGATTGATCTGCTTCCATCTGCTCCCTCGCAGGAGCCCAGAGCCTTCCGCTGTGTGATGCTATGGTCACTGCTGCTGCCCCTTCTGTGGGCAGGTGAGTGGGGACAGGGTCAGGAACTGGGGGTGCAGGGCCAAGGTAACTCTCATATCTCTGTAGGGTCCCTGGCTTGGGGTTCAAGATACCAGCTGACAGTGCCTGAGTCAGTGACCACGCAGGAGGGTCTGTGCACCCTTGTGTACTGCAGTGTCTTCTACCTGACTTCTGTCATTTTTGCTGACTCTGTCTTCGGCTACTGGTTCCTGGAAGGAGCCAATGCAAACCAGGACTCTCCAGTGGCCACAAACAACCCAGACCGACCAGTTCAAACAGAGACCAAGGGGCGATTCTACCTCCTCGGGAACCCGAAGGTCAGTAATTGCTCCCTGCTCATCAAAGACCTACAGGAAAGTGACACGGGAGTGTACTTCTTCAGAGTGGAAACAGGAATTTTTGTGAAATACAGTTACATGAAAAACAAGTTGTCTCTGCACATGAAGGGTAAGTAGTGATGTCATGTGCATGGGTCTTGAGGGCCTCCAGGGCGTGGTTGGGGGGTCCCCTGATCTTCATGCTGGGGTCCTCCATAGACAGCCTGAGGGAAAGTCTATTCTCTGTAGGCACACTTGGTGGTCCCACTGTTATGTCTCTGTCTCTTATCCTAGCTCTGACACAGACCCCTGACTTCCAAGTCCCAATGACCTTGGAGACGGGCCATACAGCCCACCTGATCTGTTCTGTGCCCTGGGCCTATGAGGGAGGGACACCCCCCGTGTTCACTTGGATGACAGTTGCTTTCACATCCCTGACTGTCAGGGATGCCCTGTCCTCGGTGCTGAGCCTCACACCTCAACCCCAGGACCATGGAACCAACCTTATTTGACATGTGACCTTCCCTGGAGCTGGTGTGACTGTGGCGAAAACTATCCAGTTAAATGTGTTATGTGAGTGCTAGGCTGAGACTCTTGGGTTCCTGGAGGGAGAGGTGTTGGGGGTGTGGGAGGCAAAGACTGGAATACTCAGTGCTGAAAACTAGGAATGGGGAGGAAGGAGAGTGCTGAGCTCCACTCCCTTCCCCACTCTAAGTATCCTAGAGTGAAGCAACTGCTGCCTCCTCCCTGAAGGGAACACCCATGTCTGTGCAGATGCTCCACAGAAGCTGACCATCAAGGTGTCCCGGGGAGATGACAGGTAGGGTCTCCTCTCCTCCCTGGGGAGGGTACAGGGACTGCCTCCCTCTGGAGGTGAGCAGATAGATGTACTTGGGTTGGGGTAGAGGCAAGGCTCGGGACTGGGAAGGGGTGATGTGCTCCTCACACCCCTGACCTACACACTGCATGTCCCCAAGGTGCCCATGGCCTCTGCCTTGCTCATAACACATGTGTGGCACTCCCCAGTGTCAGGACCTTGTCTTCATCCCAAGTGCCCTCACCCTCCTCAGAACCTCAATCCATTTGGCTTTCCACTTCCCTTCTTCCTGGTGAGGGGATTTTGTCAAAGTGGGAAATGTGTCTGATTCTGCCCTGGCTCCTGAGGGGGTGACTCACACAGCAGAAATGGACTTCTCCATTCTGAAGGACAGGAACCTGCGTTTCAGGTGCTCAATATTTGTTTCCTGCTGGGGGTGCCCTTCCTGGGTTGTGGATGGCTGCCTCTCCCGTGCTGTCCTTACAGGGCTGAGGCAGATGCACAAGCACTCTGCTGTCTTCTTAGGACCCACTAATCCCACCTTGAGGGTCACCCTTGTTAGATTTAGGGAGGCAGAAAAAGAAAGGAGTTTAAAGTTTAGAAATAAGAGGCAAAGCAGACCTGCAACAGGCAAGGGACATGCTCCCTGGATTCAGGAAGCCCAGCAAAGGGCTGATAGCTGTTCCTGAGGAGTGACTATCTTCGCACTGAAGAGGGAGCAGTCTGGTCTTCTATAGGAACTCTGCTGCACACAGCTGCAAGAGTTAACTCTGTGCCAGGGTCTGGTGTCCTTGAGGGTCTCTTTTCTGAAGATTACTTGCTCAGGCAGGCTGGTGAGATGTCTATAGCACTAAAGGAGACAGGTGGACTCAACAGCCTCTCTCTCAGTCCAGGGAGTGACCAGTTGATAAGGCTTGAACAAGGCCAGACTGCCGATTTAGGGCCAGTTAGCCACTCTAAGGAATGTATGCCTTTATGGCCTCCTCTAATGAAGCTTATGGCTCTCCTTGAAATTCACATAGTCTATCAACCCTCATGACCTCATCTAACACAATTTCCTCCCAAGGCCCCACCTGCATCACTTTGGGGATCAGGTCAGACACACATAGACATACACAGATGCACGTGCACGCACACACACACACACACACACACACACACACACTTTATGTGCATTGCTTCATAACTTTTCCATTTCTTTTCTTTTCTGTCCTTCCTGTCTTCTCCATCTTCCTCTCTCTCTCTCATGGATTGAACCAGGACTTTGTGCACACAGGCCACAACACACCCACTGAGCTGCACCTCAGACCCCTTTTGTCTTTCACATAGAGTTTTGATTTTGGAATAATCTTGTAGGATAATCTTTGGAATAATCTTTGCAGGATAGTTATAAAAATGCACAGTTCCCATAAATTGGTTATCCAGGTTTTATTGATGCCAATCACATCATGATACATGTTGTGAATGGTAACTGACCCAAACATGTTTTGTCCTCAAATTTAGTGTATCTTGGAAATCTATATTTGTATATTCGACATCTTCATACATGTTAATTATTGCATGATTCTCCAATGATAGACTGTAACACATTTAATGGATTCTTTGTGGAAGTCTGGTCTTCCTTGTCGTGTTTTTAAACAAATAATATTTTAATAAGTGACTTATAGGCTCACTCCCTACATTTGTGTACATGCCAATAAATAATTTCTTGAGAAGAAAGTTCTTGAACAAATCATACATTTGTGATTTCTACATACTTTGCAAATTGTGTTCATCACACTCCCAGGAACATGGTGTCTCTTTCCTTAACAAACTCATCCGCTCTCTCTGACATCACCAGTGAATCCATTGTAGTTTTTGTTCACATTATTATTTTGTCAAAAGGCTGGTCTCTTATGGTTTAAGAATTTATGGGCTGGGGATGTGGCTCAGTTGGTAGAGTGCTTGCCTAGCGTGCATGCATGAGCCCTGGTTGCACATCTGGGTGGTGCACATCTGTAATCCCAGTACTCAAGAGGTGGAAGCAGGAGGATCAGAAGTTCAGGGTCATCTTCAGATACATAATGAGTCTGTGACCATTTCCTAAGCAATTTGAAAGCCTTTTATGTAAGGAAACCAGCTGTCCGTCAGGTGAAGGATTTATTTAGAGTCTATGGTCTTTGGCTAGTACAGGGTGATTTTGCCAAGATTTTTTCAATTGCAGCATGGCTGGCTCTCACTGGTACACAGGAGACCACTGTGGCATTGTCCCGTCAGTCCTTCACATCCACCCTCAGTCTTCCTCCTCCAGGAAGTCCTTCTTGTTCTGAGAGTCTAGCTGGACTCTCAGGGCAATTCCACCACACAACCCATCACAGTACTCTGCTATGCCTGCTTTGGGTCCCTGCCCTGAGAATGGGCTCCTCACACACAGCTAAGCTAGGCAGGTCTTGGGAAACCAATTGTGAGAGACAGAAGGGGAAACTCCTCAGAGGTAATGGGGGATGGGAGTTGACAGATGGCCAGGAGGAAGAGCAGAACCAAGGTGGTTCTGATCGCACCAGAGCTTCTTGGAGAGTCTGCCTGTCCTCACGGTTGTGGTTTGATTCTCCATTGCTGTGACAAAATACTCTGACCACTACCAACTTGGGGAGGAAAGGGTTTATTCTGCTTACATCTCCCAGGTCACAGTTCATCAGGGAGCCCAAGGTAGGAACTCAGGGCAGGAACCTGGAGGCAGGCGCTGGAGCACAAGCCATGGAGGAATGCTGCTTACTGGCTTGCTCTCTGGCCCCTGCTCGGCCTGCTTTCTTATACAACACAGTCCCACCTGCCCAGGGGTGGAACCACCCACAGTGGACTGGGCCCTCTCATATCACTCAACAATCAAGAAGATGCCCCACAGACATGGCCAAGGCCAGTCCAATGGAGGCAATTCCCCAACTGAGGCTCCCTCAACCCAGGTGTGTCAAGTTGACACTAAAGTTATCCAGCATACTCATTCTGTTCCCTTGGGGTGGACTCCACCACACAAGCCCATCAGACAGCGAAGAGGAAAGACAGATGGACAGGGTACTAAGAGAAAGGCAGAGGGAGAGCCCTGTGGGACCGGCCCCGCCTTCTCTCTGCCTGCCCAGAACGTCAAGTCCTGCACAGCAACTCATCTCTGCGGGTCCAAGAGGGGGAGTCTCTGCGCCTGGTCTGCATGGCCGACAGCAACACCCCTGCCACCTTGAACTGGACCAAAGTGAACCTGACCTCCGGGTTCGTCCATCCCTCCACCCCTGAGGTGCTGCAGCTGCCTCGGTGGACAGGGAAGACCATGGAGACTATGTCTGCCGAGCTCAGAACAGCCTGGGAACTCAGGACGCCTCTGTGAACCTCAGCGTGAGGAGTGAGTTGGGGATGACAGGGCAGGACGCCGGGTGCCAGCCCAGGAGCAGTCCCCTGATCCCTCTCTTCCCCCCACCAGGCCCTCTACAGCTGCTGGGACCCTCCCGCTCCTGGGAGGCTGAGGGTCTGCACTGCGGCTGCTCCTTCAGGGCCTGGCCGGCCCCCTCCCTGCACTGGCGGCTGGGGGAGGGGCTGCTGGGGGGCAACAGCAGCAATGCCTCCTTCACCGTCACCTCCAGCTCCACGGGGCCCTGGGCCAACAGCTCCCTGAGTCTACATGGAGTATTCAGTTCTAACTTGAGGCTCAGCTGTGAAGCCCAGAATGACCTTGGGGCCCAGAGGGGCACTGTCCTGCTGCCACCAGATCAAGACGTCATGAAGGGTGAGACCTGGGGAAAAAGCAGCTTCAGTGTGAGCTTCAATCACATGACATTGGGAGTGAGCGAAGTGGGGCAGAGACAGGTTAAAATGGGGCTAGAGTTGAGGGTCCTCTGCGATTTGGTTGGGGAGAGGACAGGAGGCTGCAGTCATATACAAGGATGGAAGTGGGTGGCATATTCATGGTGATAGAGTAGAGAAGGCCGGATGCTCACACAATTTTTGGGGAGGGCTGTCCATCATCCTAGGTCTCTCTTGTTGGCAGGGAAACCAGAAGCCAGTGTGGAAAGGATCCAGAGGTTTGTGATGGGAGATGGTATCATGGTCCTGCTTGCTGTCTGCCTCTGCCTCATCTTCATTATGTGAGTGATGGCCACATTTAGGTGAAGGCTTCATGGAGTCGGGGTGGGCATCTCATTGAAACCAAGAGCTAAAGCTGCCCAGGGAGATGGTGAAGTAGGGATGACTGTGATCAGCTGAAGCCTCTGTCACCTTGGCCCAGTGTCGGTTTGCATTGTACTCATTTTTCTTGGAGGGACACAGACCAGTTTCTATTCCAGAGAGGGAACCAACACAGACCAAATAGGCCAAGGTGATTTTGTTATGCCTAGAGGGAACTAGCCGATACTGAAACAGGTCCATTTCCATTATGGGATTCTAGTCGGCCAGGAAGAGGGAGAGAGCCTCGGCTTACCCTGGTCTCTCAATCCAGAGAGCAGGGCCACGCCCAGCCCCTGCATTCAGCTTTTCTGAGCTCCCAACAGCGACCCAGCCCCGCTGAACAGCCCTGGTCTTTGTCCCCAGAGTGAAGCTCTACAGGAGGAAGTCAGCACTGAAACTAGTTAGCCAGGAAGTTGGCCATCTTGCCAAGAACCCCGTCTCCATGGTGAATGATGCACACGTGAGTCCACGCAGAGTCAGTGTCTTGACCAGGCAGCCCAGACAGCTCAGCAGGCCAACACTGAGCTGGTTCCCCACTGTCTCCCCTCCCCACCTTTGCTCCTGCAGTCACAGGTCGGGGACCTGGCATCTGCTCAGCTGCCCCACATCCTCCTACTTCATCTCCCAGAGCCAGTGATTTCCCAGGCTGCCCGTTGTTCTTGTTAACAAAGCTTTTCTCAACATGGCTTCCTCTTGTCAGGCCTGCACCGCCTCTCCCTGGGCCTGTGCGCTGGCCTCAGCACCCCAGAACCAGCTTTCGGAAAGTAATAACCAGTGTAGCTTTGGGCAGGAACTTCATGGTCCAAATATGGGCTAACAGAAACAGATTGTCAGGCTGGGCCTGGTGAGGAAGACCTGTACATCCCAGCACTCAGGAGGCTGAGGCAGGAAGATGGAGGGTTCAAGGCCAGAATAAACTGCACAATGAATTCAGGACTAGCCTGGGCGACTCAGAGAGATCCTGTCTCAAAATAGTAAGTAAAGAGAGATCTGGAGATGTGAGTCACTGTAGAGCCCCTGCCTAGAATCCCCCAGTGAGGGGCTGGGGTGTGGCTCAGTGGTGGAGCCCCTGCCTAGAGTCCCCCAGTGAGGGGCTGGGGTGTGGCTCAGTGGTTAGAGGCCCTGCCTAGAATCCACCATGGTCTAGAGTGTGGCTCAGTTATATCATATTTGCCTCACATGTATGAGGCCCTGAGTTGAATTTCCTATAGGGAAAAGGGGATACAATAGGAAGGGAGGGAAAACGAAAGGGGGAGACAGACAACATCAGAATGGATGTGCTTGCACATACCTATAATCCTGCTGTTCGGGGTCCAAAGAATTTCCTAAATTGACCACCTGGACACTGAGTCTCAGTAAAAAGAAGCGCTTTATTGAGGCCAACCGGCTGGGGACACAGACAGTCTCAGGAGCTGTACTGTGATCCCAAGCAGTGAAAACAGGGCTTTTAAGCATGAAAACCACAAAAAACACAAAGCAGGGGATTTCTATAGAAACCACACACAGAAGAACCAGGAGAGGATTTGAAAAATCTAAGGCTGAGTTCCAGAGCCTTAACCTATACAGCCATTGGCTAGCTTACCTGGGGCAGAACATTCTTCCTCTTCTACCCCAGACTATTCCCATAGAAACCATAAACAGATGTACCAGGTATACTGCCATTGGATAGCTTACCTGGGGCAGAACGTTCTTCCTCTTCTACCCAGACCATTCCCATAGAAACCATAAACAAATGTACCAGGTATACTGCCATTGGATAGCTTACCTGGGGTAGAATGTTCTTCCTCTTCTACCCCAGACCATTCCCATAGAAACCATAAACACATGTACCAGGAAGGGGTTTGAACAATGGAGGGGATTTCCAGAGTCAGGCAGAGGGCAGCTCTTTCTCAGAGCCCAGGGAGGGGGCTGAGGGGCACTCTCCTTCAGACAGGGAGGGGGCTGAGGGACACTCTCCTTCACTACCACTTGGGATTTGAGGCAGGATGATTTAGAATTTAAGGTCAGCTTGGGCTATATGGTGAGTTCTAGACCAGTCTGAGCTACCAAGAGAGACCTTGTGTGAAGAAAAGAGTGGGGTGGGGAAGGAGAGAGGGAGTGAGAATATTAAAAGTGCATGTCAGGAGAATGCCTCTGGTCATGAGTTCTCTGCTACCTCAAGCTTCGGCTGCCAGGGATCTGTGACGGAACACAGCTAGCTTCTTCCAGTTCTGATCCTTGAGTCTGAGAGACTCACTGACAGTGCTGCAAGATAATAGTCCCAGGGCTCAGGAAAACGTGCACTTGCTAAGACAGCACCCACAACAGCAGCTACAGTGCAGAAGGAAGAGGGACAGGAGGGTGGCGATCCACAGAACACCACAAATCACAAGTGAAAGGTGGGCAGGCCAGTTTCAGTAGTCTGGGGATTTAGCAGTGAAGAGACATGCATGGCCATTCAGAGGCTGTCCACCGTTCCTCTGGTATGCTGTGCCCAGGCTTCCTCTGGCACCCAAAGGGCTGAACCAACCAAGATCCCCGTCTTCCAACCAGACAGACTTCAACATTCCACTTGCCTGCTAGGGCTCATTCAGACTCCTGGTCCTTCCTATTTGACAGATGTGAACAGCAGGACTCACCAAATACCTAAAAATTTGTTTACTCTTTGAATTCCAAGTATTAGATAAGTAGTAAATCAAGGGTGCCACATTGTCATCTTAAAAAGCTGCAGGATAGATATTAAGCAAACTGAGGAAAGGTCCAAGTTCAAAACATGTGGAGTTCTTATCTTTACTCCTTGCATTTATGTCTTTCATATTTCCTGTAACACTAAAAAGTTTCCATTCTAAAATGTGGGGAAAGTTAGCTCTTTATTTTTCTTGTTATTTTTAACCTAATAATTTAGTAGACAGCATTATGAAATCTTTCTGTGCTATTGCTGGACACTCGGAGAAGTATGGGGCCTTTTCTACATAAAAGAAAGTAACAGCTGGGTGTGATGGACGTGCCTTTAATCCCAGCACTTGAGAGGCAGAGGCAGTGGTTCTCTGTGAGTTAAAGGCCAGCCTGGTCTACATAGTGAGTTCCAGGACAGCTGGGGCTACAAGGAGACCGTGTCTCAAAAAGCTAACAGCTTCTCATCTCACAAGAGTCCATCTGAGCACTGTCTGGCCGTGGGGCCGGTGCCCTTTTTTTACTTTTAAAGGGAATATTCAAGTTCTGAGAAAAAAGGCAACTGAGTAAAAACAGTTATTTCACTGTCCTCTATGGTCTGCTACTACTACATTATATAAAAAAAAGAGTGGACTACTGCTACCCACAAACTCAGGGTGTTTCTCAGGGGTACTGTGTGAAGCTAAAGAAATCAGGTACAGGGTCTGGAGAGGTGGCTCAGTGGTTAAGAGCACTGGCTGCTCTTGCAAGAGACCTGGGTTCAATTCCCAGCACCCACATGATGGCTTACAACCATCTGTAACTCCAGTTCCAGGGGATCTAACACCTGTCCCCTGCCACTGTATGACACAGGTGCACTTAGATACATGCAGGTGTAACACTCATACACTAAAATAAAAATAAATAGGGGCTGGAGAAATGGCTCAGAGGTTAAGAGCACTGAATGCTCTTTGCAGAGGACCTGGGTTCGATTCCCAGAACCCACATAGTGGCTATGAACTGTCCTTAACTCCAGTTCCAGGGGACTCAGAAGCCCTCTTCTGATCTCTGCGGCATTGCACAACACAGGTGCACTCACATACACGCAGGCAATACACTCATACATATAAAATAAAAATAATAAAATGAAACATAAAAGAGCGTGTCAGTTACATATATAATAGACACATGATGTCAAATTTTGTTAATTTCAGTATATTCAAATGATTGTAATCCTGCTATCTTATAAATAATCAACATGTGCAAAATGATAAGACCATTTACATCCATCTCAATTTGGGGGGTACTCAGTCTTTGGGATCTAGTGTGTATTTCATCTTCATAGACCCTCTCTCCTGGGACTCCGCATGGTCCAAGTGCCATGGGGCAAGCACTGTAAAGGAGGAATGAGCTGCGGCATGGAGAATGAAGTCCAGGTTCCTTAGGTGCTCCCTGATCTGTCCCTGAGTCCTCCACCTTGCTTCCCCTGAACCCTCCTCCTTTACAGGCTCCACTCCTAATAGGATGTACGTTCTGTCCCAGGAAGGGCCAGCTCTTCCCCGACTTTGTGGTCTATCTGCAGGGCTGCCTCTGCTCTGCTAAACTGCCCTGGCAGGAGCCCAACCACCTTCCATGCATCGGCAGACTGTCAGCTGCCTCTTGTAAAATCACAGGCCTGTTCCTCTCCACATCACACATACTGTGAGCCCCACAGAGCAGGTTTAAACCAGATTTCCTGCCAGGCTTTTCTGAGCTGCTCTGATTACAGTTTGCAAGTAGATGGTGGGTTTTGTTTCTATTTAATTTTTGCATTTTTAATTGAATTTTTATGATTTTCATACAATATAGGTTGACTGAATTTAGATCCTCTCCCTTCTCCACACTTCTCCCATTCCCCACTGCTCCCCACCCAATCTA